TCCAAGCGGCTATCCCCTCCCCGGTGGGGATGTCAATGCATGCGGCCCAAAGTGGCAGAATTGCTTTCCTACTTGTTTACCGCATGACAAGAAGAAATAACTGAATGGAGGCACAGGGGTTAATTCATCGATAGAGGCTTGGCCGGGGAACGTTGAACCTGGGAATACCTCTTAGGACAGCGTTCAGGCAAAAGTGGGGGGAGGGAGGGGGATCGGGGGAGAGTAGCTTTTCACGTAGTACAGTAGCATGCTAACCAACTAAGCATAAGATATCACCCAAAGCAATCTCATGATTTGACATAGGAAGCGGAAAAATCACTTTGAAAGTGGTCCTCCGCCTGCCTTGTTCCTCCGCCTGCCCACTTTCACCTTGCATCTGCAGGGTATATCCGTCTGCGATACATATATTCAAATAGCCCGCAAAAAACTAGAGTCAAAATACTCGTTGTTCGTCAAGATAAGGTTTTTTTGAGCGGGGATTCTACAATTTCACGTAATTTGAGATCTAGATGTGACATCAAGACCAAATAACTCGAGAGTAACAAACCCGTATTGAATGCAAGAACATAGAACATGCATTCTTCACTCTCCAAAACTTGCCTTGGTATTTGGATGGCCGAAAAATAAGCAACTGAGAGTGACAAAAGATGGTGACTTTGAGGCAAATGTGTTTTTCTTTACCGCTGTGTTGATTTGAGTTTGACTTGCTAACTCTACCTTGAAATTCCGTATTTTTTACGTCAAAATATTAGAATCTTGACGTACCACTGCATTCGTCTTCACAATTGCTTCGATTCCGGACATCGTAACTGATGCTCCTGTTGCTTTCGCGCACACAGACAAACCTGTCTTCATTGTTAACAAGATCGAGTCGGCAGAGTTCTGGACGACCTTAAGTGAAACGATGAAGGGAACATGTAGTTTTCCAAACAAGACGTTTCATGTGAGCGATTGCACAGTCGTTTCTAACAGCTTTCAGTACAGCAGGCCCTGCCTCAAGGAGTCTTGCTTAAAGAACATTCTGTTTCTCTTAGTCCTTCTAAAAAAACCGATTCTTTCAACGAACGTTGACGTGCAAAGCGATTTCCCACAAATGGCACAAAATAGGCATGAAGAACCTTTTTTTGTGAAAAAATGAGCAATCAGCGAACAAGATTTCTTTACGCCTTCTAAAAAGTCTTAATTTGGAAAGGTGAGAACTTGGATTAAGTTTTACATCATGATAAGTACATTTCTATAAGCATATCACCCTTTCTCAAAGACGTACGCATTTCGCTGTTAATCAAGCGAAGAGGGAGAAAGTGATGGGAGACTGCAAATGGAACCTATGAAACAACCTAAAGCTCTTTAAGATTAAGTAAATAGCTATATGCTGTTACGTCTTTATACAACGCTACTGATGCACACATGCTATGATATCGGCCATCTTGTGATTTTGAGCTTCCGTTGCTAATGAGGTTTCTTAATTGATTTTAATAGTATCTTACTCCAAAAGGGAATAATTTTGACATTTTTGCAAGCTCTAGGAAACGAAATTGAATACAGTTATCGTAAGCATACGAAAATAGTGAGTTGTGAAATGTGATTGAATACTACTTTTATAAAGCTTTTTTGAGATGAGAAATCAAAAACAGAGGATATGGGAGGGTAGTTTGGTTAATTAGATTATTAGGCAAAGGTTGGCAATTCAATAATTTTACTCTGCAAACAAGATGAAGTAAAAATGTTGAAAAGAGTAAGGTATTCTCTACCTCTGCAATGACGCTCGCACGTAAGCATCCTTGGGAAGTGCTTGCCATCGCGCTTGCAGGCATATCTCGTCGAGTTGTCCTTCTTCGCATTTATCTTTTTGCAAAGTACCAGTACTTCATCATCAATGACATTTGCTTCGGTGGTGGTACTTGTCGCTTCACTGCTGGAACTTGCTTCGCTAGCAGCGCTTGCATCAGAAGATGATGCTGCCGTAGTGGAAGTTGGCATTGTGACTTTCGTCGTCGTTGGTAAAGGCCTTCCAAGTTCTTTTATTTCTGTAGTGTTGTATCTGTCAGTTCAGTAGTACAGGAGGAAGAAATATAAGTATACTTGGACAATCCTTTTCACATTTGCTTTTGTCCGTGAAAAAAGAAGTTCCTAAGGAATTTCCAGTACCGTTGTATTCGCATATAAAGATTCTAAAGCAAATTGTTTGAAATTTAAGGCAGTGATATCCTTGATTCTAGTGCGAATTTCGATTGATGAAATGTAGTGCGTGATTCCGAACTCATTCAAGATTACTGCATACTCACATTATCGAAGAGTTTCCCGGTGATACAGTGCAGAATTCCTTCTCTGAAATTGAAAAGACTCACAAAAAAGTTAATTTCCAGATATAATTTAGTTCAAGGACTGAAGGTTGGTTTTTGGTGCAAGATAAATCTTATAGAACATTCTTGGCTCTTATGAAAATATGCGAAAGCGTCACAACTGCAAATAAAATTTCAAACTCATGTCTTTTAATTTTGCATAATTCTTCCATACGCAATTATGTGAGATATTGTAAATGTACATTAGATTATATTGGGTTATACTAGGTTATATTAGCGACGAAGTGTCGTCCATTTGCTTACGCCTTTTTAGTTTCCATGTGATTTATTCGTTTTCCGCTATCATAAAGATCCGTCTCTGACTTACTTTTACAAGACAGAACATTCACCTTCTATATACTGTAGGAGTACGGTAAGTTTTATAAAAACCTTTTGCCATTTTTGGTCTCTCTCACCGTTGACAGTGCCTGATATAAAGAATGTCCCTCTACACAGGAGTCGCCACCTGTCACACTAGTATTTTGTAATGCGACTTCTCTTAAACTTGTGATGCAGAAGAAAAATGATATGTTTTATGCATGCTCGGGAAAAGAAGCAGAAGAAAGAAAAACAAAAATTGAAAAACAGTAAAACCAGTATAGACTCTATCGTAGCGTTTAGTGCATGTGATTGCGCTTGGAGCAGCATTGCACCACCATCAAAATTTTTGGATGGTTTTATAAGCGGAGAGTGGAGGTTTGGATCGGTTTTGGGACTTATACGTAGATTTAATAATGAATTGTGTAGCTAGTTCAAAAATTTACTCGGTAAAGAGAAAGATATGGCCATTTTTTCTTGAACGACCCCTTGAAGTGATGCAAGAAACATTGTCCCTTTAAACAAGAAATTCATAGAGTCGGAGTGTTCTTTCGCTATTACAAGCTAACAAAAAAAACAAGTAAAGCAAATGTAGGCCAAAGTTTCAAATACCAGGCGACTCCTTTTCTCTTCGTGTTTCTGAACTTATTGCTGCCACTTGGCACTGAAACAGTCGGTAAAAATCTACAAGTAAGAGTTCATGAATATCAAATTCCCATATTTCCAGGTACAGCCCAGTGCACGAACATGAATTATGATGCTTTATCCACAAAGACTTTACGTCGGAAACACAAAAGTCCGTAAAATAGATGAGGAACTGTATTGACATTCAAGTTCGTCGGTTGATGTTTTATGACGCTTGTTTTGTAAAACACGAAATTGGTATCATCAAAAAGTAAATTGAAAATGATTTGATCTAGGAAAGGAAAGCTATATATGCCAAAAAATGGATTTTGCACTTTATTCTATTATAGCCCTCATTACAGTCCAAAACGAAATTTTAGATTATTGGTAAGGAATGGTATTATGGTTCGAAACTAACTTCGGCTATTTTTTAGTGATTGAAGAACCGACTAGTTTACCTTGTTTGTACTGTGAGGATGTTTGTGAGCCGTACACCCCAGCGCGTAAGCACTATATACTTTTTTACTAAAGATTATGCAGGTTCATGTGTTCTCCAGCTGAGACCTTTGCTTGGTTACGATCCTCATACGGTGGTAGCCAGTTTACAGTTAAATGTTTCACGAGTCTTCCCATAAATTTTTTGCTTTTCAATAGTTTACTAGTTGGCGGCTGAACAACACTTTTAAAATCGGCCCTATCCAATCGCTTCTACCTTCTATTCAACTGGATTGGCGGCTGGAAGGCGGGACTAAGTTAAGGCTAGAGGAATAATCGAAAACAGAGAAAGACGAGACTGGGTCGCGAGCGCGAACGGCCTTGATTAGGTCTCAAAGCCCCGCCTTACAGCTCAATCCAGTTGAATAGGTTGAGTAACAGAAGAGGCGCCTCCTCAGATTGAGAAAGGCGCCGCTTGACTCATCACGATACACTCAATCACTCACCCGTATGCCCAGATTTGCCCGGACACTGCCTTTAAAAGTTCCTGCTGCAAAGCGGCAACACTAGTAACAGAAGTAACGCGAGCAACACTGGTAATACCGGTAAAACCAAAATGGGTAGCACTGGTAATGTACTGTCAAATCCTACGGTTATAGCATAGAGAAGAGTATTTTCGTCGCCTCCTGCTTCCTCCCCACTTTAAAGGAGCTACTGCCACTGTTACGTACTTATTCAGCCTTTGCACTGATATCTGATCATTACTTCTGTCTCTGTTTTTCTTATTTAGTGCATATCCAACTTAGCTAACTTTGTACTGCTAAACAAGTATGATGACATTGATGTTTTTAGCCCCAGTGAATGCAATTGTGATGTAAGCAGCGTTATCCGATTTGATTCAAAAATTTTGCATCCATGCTCTTACAATCGCAGATTACAGATGAGTAATTGCATTAGAATGGAATTCGAAAGAAGCATTACTGCTCAATCTTGGCGTGTTTGAGCAGAGACAAGATGGAGAAAAATTGTTAAAGCTGTCTCTTGCAAACTGGAAAATTTTTTCGCAAACGTTAATTTGCTTCGATAAATGAAGGCAATATCTTCGGAATATTAAATCTATAGCAATTGAACTGTAAAGGTGTAGCTGCTTCACTACTAGATATCCGGACGCTTTTTCGAGTTCAAAGCAAATTAAATGAGATATTTTAGTAAACCTTCTCACTGAGAAGAACAAAAAGAAGAAAAACCTGTTACTTTACTCAAGTCAAAAAAACATGAGTCTCATTTTGTGCGTTTAGCAAGTGCACGATTGAGTTCTTGTTTATTCAGCTCCGAATGTTCTGCGAAGAATCAAGTATAAAGAAGAATTGAGTAAAGAATTATAGCGAGCTACGAGTATTTTGTCATGCGCATGATGTAAACCGCGAATTTCATCATAATGTCTCCATAAGAAAACCTGTTTTGCATTACCTGTCGTAGCAGTAATAGTACTTGTTATAGTTGTAGAAGGTACAGTAGAAGGTGTTGTAGTCGATTCTGTGGTTGTCGTCGTGGTTGAACCTAAAGATATTTGAATATTAGGAAGAAAGAGTAAAACAATTCTTTATGGATTCGCCGCGGCACTAGTTATATTTTTAAAATGCTTTCTCAGTTTCAGCATTTGACTGCCTTAGAATAATGACCTTATGTAGTCCTATGCAAGAAAAAAACGCGTTCCCCTTTGACGTCCGCAAAAGATGGGTATCACAAAGGATGCCAGTTTTTGGGCTAAATTGATAGTGGTTTTAATGAACAAAGTATGTGGCTTAGCTTGACAACAATTCCATTATCGCACAAAAGTATGAATTTATCCTACTATAATAATGCGCTAAGGCCGTCTGTTTTTTTTTGTGTGTATGTGTGTCTGTGTGAAAATCTGTCTGTCACAAAAATCATAGAGGCAGCTGCAGCTAGGCTATCGGGCTGCAATTTTGCATAACATACCGTGCCAGTGTAGGCCCACCATGCGCAAGTACGAGCCGGTTCGATAAGCGGTTCCCTCAAAATTTGCGTGTCAAACGGGTCCACGCGCCTTTTGGCACGCAAAACTGGGTCGCTAATTCGACCTTTTGCAAAGTTATGATTTGCCTGACAAGTAACTCTGCGTGCCATGAATTCTAGCCCAAAAAATGCTCAAAAAGTTTGCTTTTTTGCGAAAACAGCGCAAAAAAGTGATGATCGCGTACATAGTCGATTTGGCAAGGTTTTAGTTGAAAAAACTGAAAAGATTTTTGCATTGAAATGTAGCCCAAGGTGAGGTAACTGCTACTTATGACGATTATCAAACTAAAATAAATTCCGTAATCCGTTCAAATTCGCACTTGTTTCCTTGCAACAAAGTTTTTCCTCAAAATTACCGATCTTACCTGGAGATGCTTCATAAATGAACATTTGTTGACAATTTATTTGTGATGCTCAGCATCGCGTGGTGAGTTTCAAAGCCATTCTCATGCGAACATGAGAAAGGCATACGGATAGGGAGCCAGTGCGAACCTTCGCGAAGCGGAGGTGGCGCACTGGTAACTTATTAGGTTGTCCGGAAATTAATGTCCGTTTTGAATTTCAACCGCAACAGGTCATACACTTTTCATTCCTGAATAGCTTTCAAGGTACCATTTGATAGAGCAAAGCAAGCTCTACAAGACGGCTATCTTGATTTAACAACAGCTCTGATCCACCTTGAGTTTCGAGCCAAAAACTAAAAAGATTCAACTGCCCGAATAATCAAGAAAAATCATAATTCAGTTCGTAAGAATTCTACAAAAATTCTAATTTGCTCACGTAAACACTATCCACATAAGACATATATGTACGCTATTGCCGTATTCTTTCCTCTATTAGAAATCCAAAAAACGAAAATTTTCATACTTTTGCAAAAGTGATGCTATGTCGTACCCACATAAGTAGATGCATACTACAGATCGGTAGAAGCAAAAACGTGGATTTTCAGCTTTTTACAAGCTTTAATTCTCGAGAAATTTGGATTTTAATTTGGACCATCTGACTAATGAAAGCTATATTCGATATTTTTCGAAACTAAAGTTTGTAGAGAGCTGAAAGTTTACGTTTGTACTTCTACAGATTTGTAGTACACATCTACTTTTTGTGGGGACGACACAGCATCACTTTGGCAAAAACGAGAACATTTTCGTTTTTTCGATTTCTAACAGAGGAATAAATACGGCAATAGCGTACATATATGTCTTATGTGGATAGTGTTTACGTGAGCATGTTAAAATTTTTGCAGGTTTCTTATGAACTGAGTTATGATTTTTTTCGATTTTTCGGATAGTTGACTTTTTTTAGTTTTTGGCTCGAAACTCGGGATCAGAGCTGTTGTTAAATCACAATAGCCATCTTGTAGAGCTTGCGTTGCTCTATCAAATGGTACCTTGAATGCTATTCAATAATGAAAAGTGTATGAGTTATTGCGGTTGAAATTCAAAACGGACATTAATTTCCGGACAACCTAATGTAATAATCGGCTAAGGATGTTAACGTTTTTGTCTGTGTGTGTCTGTCTGTCCGTTACGAAATTCGTAGAGCATGTTTCAGCCAACATCTTGAGCCCAAATTTTGCACGGCGTATGGCGTATGCTACCAGCATGAAAGTCCTCTATGCAAAAGCATGGGCGGATCCGCTGAGTGGATTTCTTAGAAATTGCGCGTCAAACAGATCCACTAGGCTTATGACCAGCAAAATGAGCCTGTATCACCGTTTTGTGCGAAGTCATGGATATGTTTGACAAGCTAATGTGAAAGCCATCGACTTTGGCGCAGAATATTGAATTAAAGTTAACTGCTTTACGAAAATGGCGCCAAAAAGAATTAGTTGCGTAAAATGTTCAATTTGCCAAGATTATTGCACAGAGAGTAGCTCACAGTGCTTATCGTACATGGCGACTACAAAGCCATAAGAAATCAAAAACCTTTTCAAATTTCCATTAGTTCTTCTGGGAAAACTTTCATCCACACGAAAATACCGACCTCATACGAAAAAGTTTTAGGAATGAGTGATTGTTTACAAATCATTCGTGATAGCCTGCTTAGCGCGGTGAGTTTCAGTGTCATTATTATGTGGGAATGAGTAAGGCATACAGACAGTAGGGCCAGTGCGAGTTTCTGCGAAGCAGAGGTGACGCACTGGTACAGAAATAATGTCAGACCCTTCAGAGTTGTTGTTAGCAGAGTAGACGTTTTAGAGATGGTGCGATACCCACTGTCAGCCTAGAGAAAAGGAAAATTTCGAATGAACGAATATCGAATAAATTCGAATATAAAAAATTTCGAATAAACGAATATCGAATAAATTCGAGGTTCAAAAATTCTCGAATGAATGAATTCCGAATAAACTCGGAAAATCAGAAATATCGAATGAATGAATATCGAAAATATTCGAACATTGAAAGTCGAATTTCGAATGAATATTCGAATGATTTATCGAATAACTAGAGCAACCATATCTCAAACTTGCTGACATATCTCTGAAGCCGATCCATTTATAATCAGCACCCTCGCATCCCCTACACCAACTCCTAGCTAAAAATTTTCCGAAAATCGCTGAAATCGATAAAATGGACTCCAGTTTTAATCAGCATCCTTACCCTTCCCCCCCCCCTGTACCAACTCCCAACCTCGTAGCCCAAGATTTTCCAAAAATCGACAAAATCGATAAAATAAATTTTTATCCATAATCAGCACCCTCACTTACCCCTTTGTACCAACTCCCAGCCCCGCAGCTAAGACTTCTCCAAAGAGATCGATAAATCGCTAAAGTAAATTTTCATCTATATCAGCACCCTCACTTACCCCCTTCTACCAACTCCCAGCCCCGCAACAACGGTGGCCACATATGTACTTAAATGCCACAAATGCTACGACACATCGCCTGTTCATCGGAGACTTTCGTCTTGTGTGGTATAAGCTAGTCGTGGACGAAGGCATGTGGTTTATTCCGCGAAGCGAGCACGATTGCCCCTAGCTCTGGGCATACTGCAGGCATTTTAGTGGCGATATGGTTTGGCAGTAGTCATGTGCAAACCTTATTCTAAAAGTACAGAGTGCAGGGCATTTATCATTTTGGTAAGTTGTACACGCTAAACATTTGTGGACATCTTGTAAATGGCAGATCGCGTATGGCGATCTAAACCGTCTAATCCTCCGCTACAACTGCAATGTTCTTTACTCAAAATACACCAATTCGCAAAAAACTCTAAGGTAGCGAATAAGAGGAAGTTGTGCATTATAACTTATGCGTGCAAGAGTGACCAGTGTGGCTTTGTGTACCACAAGCATGAGCAATCCAAGGAAAAAAACAGGCAACATGAGCTTGAATTTGATAGCTTCTCTGCTGATTTGGTGCCAATAGTAGTGCGAACAATCTCATTGATTGAAAAAGCATCAGTTAAAATCCACATATGATTTTTTACTGTCAAGCAATCGGAAGAATACGACCCTCCATGCAGTTCAAAGGTCATAGTTGCAAAAGATGCATTACCGAGTTTTGCGAAAATAAACGCGGACGAAGTGAGCTTAATACTCAGCAGTTGGCTCTGCAACAAAGTCGTAATTTGAATACGGAGCTCATTCGAATACGAATTCGAATAAAAGTTCGAATAAAACATTTGAATAAAACCTATTCGAAACCCGGTTTTTTGATTATTAGAGTTTTCGAATTTATTCGAGACCCTGTTCTTTGATTATTCGAGTTTCGAATTTTATTCGAAACCCCGTCTACTCAATTATTCGAGTTTCGAATATTATTCGAAAATGGAAGAACTCCGAATATCGAATATCGAATACGAATATATTCGAATGTTTCGAATGATCGAATTTCTATTCGATTCGGACCCAAGTATAGTAGGCACTAACCTTGACATTTTTCAAGACATTTGTCTCTGAAGAAGTCGAAATATTGCTCTTTCTCGCACCAGTAATACCTGAAACATAATTTTGCTGAAATCAAATTAGCCTAAACCATCTATTTTACGTACCTAGTTTCAAGGAATCTCCACTCTTCGCATTCTGGCACTAAATCTTATATTGTCATTGATTCTTATTTCACTAAGCAATACTAATCACATTTTTCAACTTTTTTAATTCGTTTTTTCACATTATTTGAATTTTTCACTGCATCCACTTTTTTGGCTGGAATTCAAAAGCAAATAATCGCACACTTATGGGAACATAGTTTATGTATGTGATATGTATCGTCTACATAATACAATGAAGCTTGGCTATCCAACGTTGAAAATTGAAAATTTCTTAACTCGAGACTCTCAGGAATACTGCAGCGGGGATTGAAAGACTGAGGATATTATTTTCTTTTTTATTTTGCCCCTTATCAGCGGAGCCCCTTCCGCATGTTCACTGTTGCCTTACAGCTAAGAAGGAAGATGATTGGCAGCCTTTCCAATAAATGAGCGTCAGTTTTTGTTTGCTTGTTAAAAACGGGGTCAGAAAAACTAGGCTTTGTTCATTATGTAATTTATATATTCTGTGACTAGCACACGCCAGTGTGTATCAACTTGCGGAATGTGTTCGTAAGGTAATACTAACAAAAGTCAAACAATTTTTTGAAAAGCTCCAGTTAGCTTACGCTGGCTTTTGATACGCGTCTTTTTTCCGCGGATTTGAATTAGTTTCGTGGAATGAATTCATAGACAGTTTAAGTTTCAATACAAAACAACTATACGTTTTATGGTTCTTACAAAATCAATTTGGGTGCTCTAACGCCCTTCAGAGATAACAAGAGCTTGAAGCTTCAACTTGCTATTTAGCACTGCGTGCGGTACTACTCTTCGCCATTGCACAAACATTCATATTCAGAGTTGCAGTAAAAACAAACGCATTGTTATTTTTCACGAATTGCTCTAAACCTAGAAGGGGGTGGTGTAAAATCACAAAGTTTCTGAAATGCAGCAACCTGCAAGCATTGTACCTGTTTCCAAATCAAATTTAGCACATAATTAATAATTTTTTAAGCATACTCATCAAAATGAAATCGACACAGATTACAAACCAACCTTGTGTCGTACCAGTAACCGTTGATGGTGATGTCGGCGTTGTCTCTAAAACTACGATAACTTAACATTTCAAACCTGCCATGTTATTCATGTTGTTCTAAAGTCGTCATATCATAATTTGATAGTCTATTTTAAAACACATATTCTAATACACCATCATAAAAAAACCTTTTCTGTGAGAGATATATAACACGTAATCATTACTGTTTCGCTAAACTGTTCGTCTCCACTTTGACCTCAAAAAGATTGCTGGAACAGAAGAAGAGAATGAGAGGAAAAATGCTCAAGTCAAAAGATGACTGGACGTTCTTTGCTCCAAGATATTCGTTATCCCACAAGCTCTGATGTTTGTTTGTGTTCTGATGGCTTGTTTCCGCTATTATAGCAAAATATGTGCTAACGTTTTGTGGGTGAAATGAAATCAGCTGTTGATGTAATGTAAAGCTGGTGAAACTTGCAGCTATTCAATGTAAATGCGCACCTGTTGAATTCAACACGTTGGATTGTTTACTATAGATTTTGTGGCAATAATCTCGTAGAAGTAGTGAGAATAATAAGGATAGAAAAATAGTTCAGCACTAACCTTGACATTCCTTGAAACAAAGACTCTCATCCATGTGAACTTTTCTAGTTTTGTAGCATAAGAATAATCTGGAATGAAACCTACTGCGTAAACAAACACATCAAAGCGATATATTCACACTTACGAAGAGCCTTGGTAATTCCATTTCACGCAATCGAACACTAAATTTACTATGTCAATTTAATTTTGAGCAAAACATATAAGTTTTGAGTAACGTGCACTCTCCTATACTTATTTTTTGAAATCAGTCTTTTTTTAATGTGCCCAGTTTTTGCTGGATTGAAGTTTTTGCAACCGCTTGTGTCAGCAAACGCGACATTCTAAGTGAAAGCGTAACAAGCTTACTGTTGCGAGGTCCTTCTAGAAATTCTTACCGCTCTCTTTTTTGGTACCAACTTATTTTTTCTAAGTAGAGAAAAGCAACTCAGATTGAACAAGCCACATCTTATAGGCGCATCTCATCAATCTCTCTATTTTAGTTCACTTCCACAGGTCAAGGGAACGCGCAGAAGTCGGAGTTTTTGCAGGCTACAAAGTTGTCAGAGCTTTCCTTTGCAAACTGCATAATTTCCCTCGCAAACGTCGTTAATTCGCTACGGTAAATAAAAGCTATATCTTCGAAATTCTTGATAAAACAACAAAACTATTAATAATTGCTTTGCGATGAGATATCCGGAAGCTTTTTCGAGTCTGAAGCAAACCACTGAGCTTTTAGTACAAGATATTGCACGTTGAAAGTAGTAAAATTAGCATGAACGGTTGCCTTAGTTCAGGCCTATGAAAAGATGAGTCTCATTTTGTGCGTTTAGCAAGTGCTAGACTGAGTTTTTGATTATATGCTCTGAAAGTTTTACGAGGAACTAAATATTGAATTTAGCCAGCTCAAATTATTAGTCAAATAGTTTGTTAGTTCGGTATTTCAAGCGTGCCGCCTCGTTGTGTTTCGGAGAACGAGAATTATGCCGCACGATACTTTCTAGCAACATGCGGCACTGTAAATAGTTTTTGATCGCGGAGTCCTTTGGAGTGTCTGTGCTGTTCGGTTCAAAAAAAATTCCCCGGTCTTATACGCGTGAAATCAGGGTATATTTTCGATAGTCTAAGCTTCGTGATTTGCACTAAAGTGATTTGAGCCTGATTGGTCTTCTCTAGTTTGCAGCGGTGGATTGCGAAATTCTTGACATTTACTTATATGGGTTATAAAAATGTTCAAATGATTGTTTATTTTTGTGAAAAATCAAAATAGTTTCTAAAAATTTTTGAAAATTCAAATTAGCTTTGTAAAAATTTTTTTGGAGTGCTGGCTAACGTCACGCACCTTCATCTGAAAAAATTTTCGCCTCCCCCGGACGGAAATCCTGTGACAGCTACTGCTTGTTTGAGATATTGAAAGCGAAAAACGAAACAAACAAGATTTTGGCTTGCTCTTTCCTTAACTTGGAAGCTATTTGCAGTAGGATTCCTGAGATAAGCAAAAAAGGTTCTTCGTATTAAACGCAAAAAGTGGTAGTTAACTCATCATTAAAACAAAGTTAACATGATCGAAAATGACCACCTCACTTGAGTGGCCCAGTTTGAAAACTTCATAATTTTCTGAAAGTTGGCCCATAAGGGTTACTTGACATGCTAATTATGAAACGACGCTTTTACGCTTTTGTAGATCTTTTATCATGTTTTGCCGTTTAGGGTATTGGGCCAAAATCAATGTGCTAGTATTTGCAAGATGGACCTATCTTTCATTGTTAAAACCTTGACGAGCCATTTGATGTCTGTCCCTGTGGACAAAAGGGTTTCCCTGCATTTTTACGCCTGGCTGTATGCGGCTGTACGTATCTAAGCATGCATCCATGCGTGAAGAGCAAGATACACAGTGAACGGAGCAGCTCGCACCCCTCTTTTGACAGGTCCCGCCCACTCGACGAATGCTGGATTCTGCTTGAATTTCGAGAATGCGTGTGAATTGCGACACTTTTGAAAAGTGTGCGGAGCTTGACAAATGGGCGGGACTTGCCTAACAAGGTGAGGCGAACTTGAAGTCGCTTGAGGTTTCGCGGTCATTTATGGCTTTTTCTATGCGCTTTAAGAACGAAAAAAGCCTCTTGTAGAAGGCAAAGGAGTGGGTGGAGCTTGCCAAAATAGGAGCGAGGACAACCTAAAATACCTCTTAGCTTGAAATGATTGTCTGAAAATAAACTAGAATGATTTGATACCTTAAAATTGGAGAGGTGCCGAGCACCATTGCGCAGGCGTTGTCATCAACGATTAACAATACCATGCTAACAACAAAAATCATCTCAATGACCCTGTCAATTTTCTTGATCCCGCAATACGACCCCCGGGCGTGGCATGCCACAACCCCATGCTTGACCCCGAATCTGGTGCACCTATCTTTTTATGGCGAAGGCTATACCTCACTTAGGCTACCCTATTTTGACAATACTTCAATCATTTCAATCTCACGGTAAGTGCATTTCAAACATGCGGAAATGCATATCATCCTTTCCCAGATATTGCGTGTATGGGTTTGCATCTGGCAAACCGCCAAATGACGTAACAATTACAATTGTCAAGGCAAGTTCTGGTAAACGTTATAACGTTAACCAGACAATCTTATTTTTATGCATTTCGCACGATGGAACTTCTTATAAGATAACAGCCCAGGTGACTTTTTTAATGCTGCCAAAGAGCAGTGGAAAGCGTTAAAAAAACTGAGCTCAATCAATTTTCTGAATCAAAGCCGCCTAAACAAATGTATTTTCAAGATTATGAATGTATGAAAGAAAGCAACAGTATCTTTTATTTTTTTACACAGGAAAAAAAATTTCCTTTTCTTTATGACTAGTAGTGCCACCTTAATCAGCTGCTTGCGAAAAACGCATTTTCGAACGATAGCCATGGCCAAGGGCCCCATTGGTCCGCAGACCCGGCTGCGATTGCAGAATCTTCGAGAGGGGCGATGTAATGGCGCGCAACCTAACATTTTGCGCGCAAGCATTCTCATTCATTTTTGTACATCTATCATTCGGCATTAAGACAAGCCTTGGCTAGAATATAATGTACGCTTCATAACGTAATGTTTCTTTGCTAACCGCGCATTGTAACCCCTACACTTTTTATTGGGATGCCCCATAAGTCTTTCATATCTGCATTTTCACCGCCATAAGTCAGTTTGATGTACTTTTAAAAGGTTGCGAGGTACCATTCTACAGATTGAAGCAAACTCTACAAGATTACGTTTAAAGGCAGTGTGCAGACAAATCTGGGCGCACGACTTTTCTGTCTAGAATTTGATGAGGGCGTCCTAAGGGCACTGCCCAAGGGGAAGCGCAAA